TCCCCAGACTCTGATTACAACACAAGGCAGTTGTTTGCAAACTTTATACACAAATGAGTTATCTGAGGGCTTCTCTGGAATTCTGATTCCCATATTGACACCTGAGATTGCGATTCCATCTGTGTGAGTGGGGCTCAGGAATCAACATGTTTAGCAAGCTCCTGGTACAATTCTGATGCAAGTGACCTGCAGGCTACAGATTGAGAATCATTGGCCAGTGGGAGAGATGGACCAGTATGGATCTTTCCAATTCAGTAGAGAAAGTGTTAAATGAGGGGTGCCAGGACCAACCTGAGGGCTCAGAAAATGTTTTCTGGAGGAGATTAAATTCTAAGGAAGTATTGTTACTGAAAGTTTGGTACTTGGCCTGAGGCCAAACGAAGAACGAGAATAAGTGGTTTGAGGAAAAGGAAAGAGAAGCTTATTAATTTACTGGCAAATGAGGAAGATGACAGACTCTCAAAGAGCCATCGTCCCCCACTTTAAGCAGAAATACAGGGTTTTAAAGGGGGTTTTCAGCTTTGGGCTATTGCTGTTTAACTATAGCATCTCAGGTGAAGATGATCTCGTGATCTTTGTCTGGATAATTCTATTGAGCCATCTCCTGTGGTTTAAGATACTAGAAAACAAAGAACAGATAACACTCCCCTGCCCCTCTGATTACTGGCCTCAGGTAGGAATGCAGGTTTTAATTCCCAAAAAGGGGGACGTTAAGGAGACAACTTGTATTACATTTTGCCCTTTTTCAGGCCTTTACGTCTGTCATAGTGTTAACCATGTGGAAGAATATTCCAGGGAAGGGAACAGCATTAGAAAAGGCCCAGAAACACAAAGCGATTTGTGTATGGAGATTTCCAAACAGAGTATTATTACTAAAGTATAAAGTGGAAGCTGGGAAAGGGGGAAATGAGTCCACAGAAAGCCAGGGGCATGCCCTGAACAGCTTTGTAGCCCAAGCTGAAGCATGTGGACTGTTTCCTAGAGGCAGTAGAGAGTGATATGATCATATTTATATTTCAGAAAAATAAGCCTGTCCTATGGTTTGAATGTTCCTGCCAAAACTCATGTTGAACTTTAATTACCATTGTGACAGTATTAAGAGGTGGGACTTTTAAAAGGTGACTAGGTCATGAGGGCTTCACTTTCATGAATGGATTAATGCTGTTGTCACAGGAGTATGTTATTTATCGCAGGAGTTCATCCCCCTTTTTCTCTTTGTCTCGCGTGCTTGCCTTCCACCTCCCGCCATGGGATGACACAGCACAAAGGCCCTCACCAGATGTCAGCGCCATGCTCTTGGACTTCCCAGCCTCCAGAACTGTGAGAAATAAGTGTTACTTTGTAAATTACCCAGTCTGTGGTATTCTGTTACAGCAGCAGAAAAGGGACTAAGGAGACACTGGCTGCTGTATGAAAAGTTAACTTTTCATACAGAGAGAGAGAGCCTGCGGGCAGAGGGCCCATCAGGAAGCTGTTGAGGTGATTCAGGTAAAAGAGGTTCAAGGTCTAAACTAGGGCAGTGGTGGTGGGGATGGAGATGAAGGGGACTGGTGAAAACACTTAGGAGGCCAAGTAACCAGTTCAGGATTCATGAACTGTGGTGGAGCAGACAAGAAAGCAATTGAAGAGGAGCAGCTCAGGAGGGCTCCAGGCTCCCAGAGGCAGCTAGGGTGGTGGAGGTGCCATTCATTAAGATAGGGAAAATAGAAGAAGCAGGTTTGGAGGGAGATAATTAGCTCCTTTTGGGGACATACTATGTTCAGTGAGATGTCTAGAAGATAATTAGATGAGATGTCCAGTAAGCAGTTGGACACATGGATCTGAGGTAAGGCCCCTGGTATATATTGGGAAGCCATCAGTGTATCATATTTGAAGCTGTGAGAGTAAATGAGGTCCCCCTGAAACAAAACAGTAGGAAATACCAACATTTTAGGGACAGAGAAAGGAAGAGGATACCACAAGGGACCAAGAAGTTACAGCCTTTAGAGAGACAAGGAAAGCCAGACACAAGCAGAGTCATGAGAAACAAAGGAGAAAAGTGTCAAAGCAGAGTAATGATCAGCAGGGTCAGGTGTGTCAGGTGGACTCTGGTCTATATGGTTTCCTTACAACTTGGTGATGCGGTGAGTATGATGACCTTAGCAAGAGCAGCTGTAGTGGGAGGAGGGACAGAAACCAGACTGCCCTAGTTAAGCAGTGGCTAGGAGGAGAGGAAGTGGAGACAGTGGGCTTGGGGTCCTTTTCCAAGAAGCATGCCCGTTGAGGAGAGTTGAGAGATTGGCAGATGGCTAGAGAGCAACCTAGTGACAGGCAGGGATTTTTCTTCCCAAATATCTGAGAATCTTGAGAATGTTTCTTGGATGAAAGGAAAGAGTGAGTAGAGCATGAGAGATTGAGATGTAGAAGAGAAAGGAGATGGCTGAGAGAGCATCATCTGGGAAGAAAAGACCAGGGCCAAGAGGGCCCCCAGGAAGAGGCTCACTTTAACTAGGAGAAAAAGCCAATACTGAGAGCCTGGAGGCACATGGGCATAAGGCTGGACACATGTAGACAACGTTGCAAACGCCTCGAAGTCTTGACTGCCACTTTTAGCTGTTAACACTGGGCAAGTAGCTTCTTTTCTTTTTCTTTTTGTGTTTATTCACCACTATGCTAACGAGGAGACAAGTAACTTCTTTTATACTCTGTTTTCTTAGAAGTGAGGTAGAATACAAAAGAGCCTAACTCATAGCATGGATTTGTTATCTGGATTAAATTAAAGAATGCATTTCAAGCACTTAATACAATAGCTGCTAAATGGTAAGTACTTACATGTTTAGTCATCATTACTGTGATGATCATTATTACTGTGGTAGGAAACAGTCAAGGACAAGTAGCGTGTTTTTATATTTCCCTGTAGATTTACCATTTCTGGTGCTCTTGTATTCCTTCCTTAAAGATTCAAATTTCTGTGTATAAAATTTCCCTTTAGCTTAAAACATTTCTTATAATGAGGACCTACCAGTGGCATATTATGTGGCTTTCTCTTATCTGAGAATATTTTTGTTTTGCCTTTATGTTTCAAGGAAACTTTCACTGGCTATAGAATTCTAGGCTCACGGTGTTTTTCGTATGTGTTTTGTTTTGTTTCTTAAGCAGCTTAGAGATGTTGTTCCCTTATCTCTGTCCCCCATTGTTTCTGATGAGAATCAACCATAATTTTTATCATTGTTCCCTTGTATGTAATATGTCTTTCTGTTTTCTGGCTGCTGTTAAGATTTTCTCTTTATTTTTGGTTTTTAGCAATTTGAATATCACATGTCTAGATGTGGTTTTCCTTGTATTTATCCTGTTTTAGGTTTATTGATCTTCTTGGAACTGTGAGTTGATATTTATAATTAAATTGGGAAAATATTTGGCCACTATTTTTCCAAAAATGTTATTGCTTTAGTCTATTTCTATTCTCCTCTGAGACTCGAATTGCATGTATATCAGCTCACTGTCCTAGAAGTGCTTGAGTCCCTGTTTGTTTTTATTGTATTCTTTTTCTCTTGGTGCTTTAGTTTAAATAGTTTCTTTTGGCCTGTTTTCAAGTTCACTGATCTTTCCTCTGCAGTGTCCTAGCTGTTGTTATTTAAATTCAGTGCATTTTTATTTAGATATTATAGTTTTTAGTGTTAAGATTCCCTTTTTGTTTTAGAGTTTAAGTATATCTCTTGAAAGTCACCCATAATATACATTTTTTAAACATATTTATGAGAGTTGTTTTAAAGTCCTTGTTTGCCAATTCACCATTTGGATCATGTAAGGATCTGTTTCTGTTGAGTTTTTTCTCTAATTATGGCTTGAATTTCCTGCTTCTTCACATTCCTTGTCCTTTTTATTGTGTAGTAGACACAGTAAGTTGAAGAGATGCTTGGATTCTGTTACCTTCTTCTGAATAGTGTTGAATGTTAATAGGCAATTAAATTATTGGCAGCTAACATTTTTCAGTGGGTGAGTACTTACCATGTTTAGACTTTGTTAAGATGCATGTCTTAGTCCATTTTGGCTGCTATAACAAAATTCCTTAGACTGGGTAATTTATAAACAAGGGAAATTTGTTGCATACTATTCTGAAAGCTGAGAATTCCAGGATCAAGGTGCCAGCAGATTCAGTGTCTAGTGAGGGCTTATTTTGCTTCAAAGATGGCACCTTCTTGCTGTGTCTTCAGATGGTGAAAGGGATGAACACTGTCTCTTTCACTGTGGCAGAAAGGGGATAGGGAGCGCCCTTGAGCCATTCATCCCGACTCACAGGCACTGAGTGCAGATGAGGCCCACAGAGGTTGGGTGGCCTGCCCAAGGCCATGTAGCAAGTGAGTGGCAGGTCCTGGCCATCTGGCCACAAGGCTAGCTGCCTCTCCCCGGTGCCAGGACAGAAGAGGGACAGGTGTGGCAGGGGGTCGGTGATGGTTGGCTCCCAGCATGTTGGCTTGGGGAGAGAAGAGCCAGTGGGTCTTCCCAGTGAGAGGCTGCCCTGAGTGGTCTGTGATGCCCCTGTCTGAGGGAAGCCATGCTGTTGTCTGCCCCTTACCACCCTCCCTGGGCCAGTGCTGAACCCAGGCCCGTGCTCCTGGGGCGTAGGGGAGAAGCTCTGGGAGCCATAGGGGAAGCTGTGAAGGAAATAAAGCATGGAGCCCCCACCAGGGGGTAGGGCTGGGAGATGGGCACTAATTGGCAGTGGCCTTGTTCCTGGGGATGCCTCCTCACCACTGCCCTCTCACCTGTTACCAAAGCACTTTTTGTCTCTAAAGAGTAGCTCTCCCTAAGAAAGCTGCCCTCGTCCTTCCTCAGCTCATGCTCCCTCCTCTGAGAGGCCCCTGAGAGGTGGGCGGAGGGCGGGGAGGACAGAGTGGGGCACACTAGACCTGACATGGGTGTCCCCCTCTTGCTGGTTATGCCACCGCCTGGGGTCACTGGGCCTTTGCCCTCCACACAAGATCTTTCAGTTTTGACCATTCTGGGCTTTTCTCTAACAGGCAACCATTGGGATTGACTTCTTGTCGAAAACCATGTACTTGGAGGACCGTACGGTGAGCACCCAATTTTAGAACTGGGAGGGCAGGGAGGGCGCCTTTGGGCTTATCCCCTGGGACCCTTAGCTGGGCACCACGGAGAGCCCATGCTGACCTTGCATGGCAGAGCCTGTCCCCCACCCCACCCCATCAGGAGGACCTCACTGACCCCTCTGCCCACGATCCTGCCCTCCCCACAACAGGTGCGACTGCAGCTTTGGGACACAGCCGGCCAGGAGAGATTCCGCAGCCTGATCCCCAGCTATATCCGGGACTCCACGGTGGCTGTGGTGGTGTATGACATCACAAGTGAGTGAGGGTCTGTGCCTGAGGCAGGGTGGCTTGCAGGGGCTCCAGGGCCTGGATGGGACCCCAGCCAGGCCTGTGTGTATGGACAATATGCACACAAGTGTCATTGTCCCCTGAATGCAGGACAATCGGGGTAGGGTGGTTAGTTGCCTCTGAACACCAGTGTGTTTTCCACTGTCCCCCATCCCCTACAACAGGCAGGGGTGTACAGGGCGGGGTTCGTCCTGCCCAGAGCAGAGGCTGGTATGTGGGGTGAGCAGATGCTCACAAAGCCCTGTTCCAGTCCCTCTGTACCCTCCATCGCCCTGGCTGCCAGAAAGACCCCTACAGAGCAACTTCTATATGTGTGTGTATGACCATGGGAGAAGACACTGGTCCCTGGGCCAATGTGACCTGGCAGCTGTGCAGGGCTCTCTGGGAGGGGAGGCTGAGGGGGTCTGGAAGCGCTTCTCACACACTGTGGTTCTCTGGCCAGAGCAGGTGTTTCTAACAGGACCGTACAGCTTATGGGGCTCACAGGGCCAGGCGTGGGGTGGGGGCTGATGCAGAGCCCAGGCTTCGCAGGCTGCTATAATGGAACGCACCTGGTAAGCCCTCGGGCTGTGGTCAGCCCTGAGGTGGGTGGACACGCTGTGTACAATCCACAGCCATGCCCCAACTGTCCAGCCTGTGCCCCCGGCTCTGCCTGCCCCTCTGTTCACACCCTCCCTGACCACAGCTCCCTCCACACCTGAGTGCAGGTGGGAGCTGGGCTCACACAGCCTGATGCCCATCTGAAGGGCGACAGGGCTTCGGGAAACTGAGGCTTCCCAGGGCAGGCTGCCTCCCCTCCCCTTGGGTGTGCCTGCTGCTGAGCGGTGGCATCACCCCACGACTGCTCCTCTCTGTAAGACCTGCCTTATGAGGGAGGTGAGGCTGCCCAGAAACGGCCTTGCCTCTCCTGGATTTGCGAGTGCTCCTGGCTCCCCTGACTCTAGCCCCAGAGCCAACTTTCCCTCCTCTCTCTTCAGATCCCTCTGGCCTCCCAGGCTCCCCTGAGCCCCCCTTGGTGGGGGGGCCACTCTGTAGGGCGCCTCCTTCCCTGGGGACTGCTGTGTCTCTCCCTACCCCTCTCTGCTTCTAAGCTCAGCCGAGTCCTGTGCACTCACTTCTCACTCTCTGCTCTGAGCCCCAGCCAGGTCTGACTTCCAGGCAGGCCCCCAAAGCCACTCTTCCATGTAGCAAGTTAGGACTTGGTGACCTTCCAGATGGGGTCACTCCTCTCCCACAAAGGGCAGCTGAGCAGTGCTGGGGCTCTCCAGGGCTGTGGGGCAGGGCCTGGCTCCTTTTGGGTGGCCCCAGCCCAGCTGGCCTGTGTGGACTTTACACCTGTCCCGAGTGTCTGAGGGCACACGCTTAGGTGGCTCACGCCTCCCCTTCCCTTCTCCTGCTGGGGGCTGGCCCTCACCCCCAGTTTATCCCCACGTTCTGCCTCCAGATCTCAACTCCTTCCAGCAGACCTCTAAGTGGATTGATGACGTCAGGACAGAGCGGGGCAGTGACGTTATCATCATGCTGGTGGGCAACAAGACGGACCTGGCTGACAAGAGGTGGGTGCGAGCGGCAGAGGTTCAGGGGCCCACCCTGCACTCCTCTCTGACTGCGCCTGGACAGGGAGTTGTAGGATGCATGGGTGGTGCGTCTGTGCATCAGACCTGTCCCCGTGCATCCAGGAAAATTCCCTTGAGACACCAGGACCTTTGGAAACACCTGGTAGACCCCCCGCCCGTGGGTGTCTCATCAGTGAAGCCCTGTCTCTCACCAGCAGACAGAGGCGAGGTATTGCTCGGTATGCCGTCTGCACGGAGCCCTGTGTGCCTGGCCTGGCCCAGCAGTGGGTGGTCTGGGGCCCTGCCATGGCCACAGCATAGCCCCAGACACAGCAGTCCTCTGGGCCCCAGTAGCTTCTGCTGTGCTTTGTGTCTCTGCCCCTGTGAAGTGCCTGCACTGGTGTGAATGGGGGCGTGAATGCCCTGGGCCCCAGCTGTGAGTGTGCAGAATCCCTACAGACCACAAACCTGTGTCCCCAGCCTGCTCAGCCTGGTTTGTGGCTGTGTCTAGCATGAAGCTTTCTCTGAAGAGGCCTCTCCACAGCTGCCCTCTAGTGCACAGGACCAACCTGGGCACCATTTACATGCATTTGTCCATTCATGTCACGTGACCCCAACTTGGGCAGTTAAAGCAGCAGGTCATGGACTCCAGCCAGCAGGCTGGCCTTCCTGCAACGTCCCCAGACCACCTAAGGAATAATCTGAATTAGAGCTTGCTTTACTAGAGTCCTGTACTTGAAGTAAGAAAAACTGGGCTCAAATTCTAGCTCCTTTGCTAAGTAGCTTTGCGGCCTTCGGGGAGTCACTTTTAACCTTCGTGTCCTCATTTGGAAATGGGAGTGACACACCACCCAGAGAGGCACTGTGTGGCTCAAAGCTCTTCACAAATGAAGGCCCTGGTGGTAGTGACCACTGGGAAAGGCAGGTTTGGGACAGCCCCACCCCAGGCCTGCCCCAGGGCCTGCTCCGAAGCTGAGAAGACCCTGTGGAAGAGTGGAGGAAGGGACGAGTGTCCTGCTGTGTCCTGGTGCCCTTATTCCTGGAGACTGTGGTTGGCAACCTGGGAGGGACCCCTGGGATCAGACCCTGTCTTCATGGCTGACCAAGGGCCTGGCTCCCTCTGCCCTGCTGGGCAGGTCCCTCAGCTCAGGTCACTCCCTCCACCTGTGCCAGGGGCTGTTCCTCTGCGCCAGTGACTTTCCCTCTTCCCCCATCTCCAGGCAGATAACCATCGAGGAAGGGGAGCAGCGCGCCAAAGAGCTGAGTGTCATGTTCATCGAGACCAGCGCGAAGACTGGCTACAACGTGAAGCAGGTGAGGACACACCTGGTGCTGGGGAGGCCCTCGCTGGGCTCTGGGTGTGGTCAGCTCCAGGCTCCTGCCTTGCCCTGAGGAGCCGGAACAGCCAACCAGAGCACTGGGGAGCCAGCTAACTTCAGAGCTGAAGGAGCTTGTGGAGGGGAGGGAGCACTCCCTACAGGGCATCGGGAGATTGTCAGTCACTAGCTAGCACGGCAGCAACCTCTCAAGGCCTTGGAGCAGGCTGGCAGAGTGCCCAGCCACCGGCTTCTAGGGGCTGAGGGAAGCAGTGGTTCCCTTGCTTTGGATGAGGGGTGCAGGAAATTCAGTCTGATCAGCATTTGGGGTTCATGTCTTGTACCTGGCAAGTGCTGAGGGCCATGGTGGGCAACGCAGGCTTGGAGAAAAGAGCCCACCGTGGTGTGGCTGGAGCTCACGGGAGGGCGAGGAGGCGAAATGAGGGCTGAGCCTCGGAGCAGGGATGCTCTCCCTGGTCCCCACGTAGTCCAGGGATGCGATTCAGCAGGTCAGCAGAGCGGCTGGAAAACATTCCTTCAAGTGATGACCTAGGCAACACAACGCAGTAACGTTGGCCATACCTCTGGCTTTCTCACCCACAGAGAGCACAGATGCTTTCTTACCACCTCCCAGGGCCGCGGATGTCTCGAACTTTGCATGTATCACTACTTCAGTACCACCATAGTTATTAGACTAGTTATTAAACAGCTAGTTCTTGCTGTTTAATAGGTTCATAAAGAAGCACAGATGCTGCTATGTCACAAATTCGTATCTTCAGATTTTTTAGTTTATTTCAGTACTAAATGGTTTTCTTTATAATCCTGTGCGATTGATTTTACACACTGCAAAGGAGTCCGTAGGCTTCACCAGGCTGCCAGAGGGGTCCTTGGCTCACGAGATTAGGAACTTCTGCCGTTGAGGATGAGGAGGACTTGAAGAGGTGGTGAGGAGGGAGGGCATTCCAAGCAGGGGTGACAGTGAGCAAAGGTGTGACAGCAGGGTGCCCGTGGTGTGGGGAGGGAATGCTGAATGGGGAGCATGACTTGGCTTGGGGTGGTCACTGTGCCCTGCCACCCCAGCGTTGGGGGAACACTCGATCAGCTGCCCATGCAGCTGCTGGCCTTCTGGGTGCAGGGATGGTTTGGTCCCATGCATAGTGCTGGTAGCAGTGGGGACAGCGAAGTGGCAGAGCAGTGGGGAGCGATGGAGTGGGAGGGACACTGCGGCGACACCAGGAGTCCCAGAGTTCCAGGGCTCAGTGCCCTCACCCCACCCTGCCCCGCCTGGAGTGCCCTGGGCACGGCTCCCTGCACTCCCAGCCCCGTCTCAGCCCCTGTGGTGTGAGGCTGAAGCTGTCACCCTCCTCCCGTGCTCCCTGGAGGCATGCAGGGGAGGCGGGGCCACTGCTCTTTGGGGGCCCTGATGGAAAGTCTTGGGAAGTGGGGGAGCAGAGGGCAGCACCAAGTGGTCTATAGGGCAGGTCTGTCTGCCCCAGCAGTCAGGGTCAGGCAAATGCTGCTTCCCGCTCCCAGAATGCTCTGGAACCCAGGCACTGGTTTGAGCAGGAGTTCAATGTGTTCCATTCAAACCCCACATGGTTCAGAGAAGGAGTCTCCGTGCAGTGCAGACTCCTGGACTCTTAATTGTGATCATATTTGCTCACCCAGACTCATGCCTAACCCCAAGAGCATCCTTCTGAGTGGCAGTTTGGCCATTGGCAGAGGCTGTGACCATGCTGGCAGTCAGACAGGTAGACCAGGGCCGCCTGGGGTAAGCTATGAAGGAGACCTCAGGAGGGATGACCTGGGCCCTCCACGCCCCCACCCATCTCCACCCGCCCACGAGGATCCCACACCCTGCTGGGCCATGGCAACTTCCCCCTCGCTGCCTTTAGCCCTGTCACCAGCCTGGAAGCTTGGGTATGGCTGGGCTTTTGGGTGAGCTGTGAATAAGACTCACCCTGTCCTCAGAGAGCTCCGGTAGTGGAGGGTATAAGCCCAGAGCCCACCGGCTTCCTGCAATTGGTATTTGTGGGGAGAACGGGGAGAGTTTGTGTTATCAGTCCGTTCAGGCTGCTGTAACGAATTACCGCAGACTGGGAAACTTGTAGACTACAGGAGTTTGTTGCTCACTGTTCTGGAAGCTGGGAAGTCCGAGATCGAGGTGCCAGCAGATTCCATGCCTGGTGAGGGCCTGTTCCTCATGGGTGGTGCCTTCTCACTGTGTCCTCACATGGTAGAAGGGGCCAACACGCTCCCTCAGGCCTCTTTTATAGGGGCACCAATCCCATTCATGAAGGCACTGCCATTGTGACTTAATCACCTCCTAAACCCCTACCTTTTTAATACTGTTGCATTAGGGATTAGGTTTCAACGTATGAATTTTGGGGAGACACCAGCATTCAGACTATAGCAGTTCAGAGTCTTCTGTGCCTTGTACTTCTTCTGCCTTATACTGTCACCTCCAATATTTCGTCTCTGCCATGACCCCACCTGCCACTCACCTCCTGTCCCCCCACTGCCCACCTCTGTCCCAACACACACACACATACACACACACAACACACACACATACACAATTTTTCCAACATACACACACACATAGAAAACGCACATGTATGCATACACACGCCACACACACATTCCCCCCACACTTACACAAACCGCACACGGAGACCACACGTTCACATCCACACATGCCATACTCACACACACGTTCCTCCATATGCTTACAGGATATACGTGCACCCACACACACGCCACTTACAACACTCACACATTCTGCACACACCCCTGCAGACAAAACGCACACACCACATATCCCGCACACACGTACCCCTGCACAAAATATACATGTCACACTCACACACACACACACACACACACACCCAAACAGACCCACAGCATCATGCTCACACTCTCATGTCCCCCACGTTCTCAGAGGAGCCTCGCCACTGTGACTGTGTGGCCCTGGCTCCCAGTGTCCAGCTGACGGACTGGCGGGGCTCCCTGAGGAGAGTCATTAGTCTCAAGGGCAGGTTGAAAGTCGGTTCCCCATGCCTTGTCCCCACGAGGGCCATGGACAGAAGCCTGCCTATGAGCCTCTCTCCAGGGGATCAGATCGTTTCTGCACCAGAGGAGGTCCCTGCAGTCACTGCATGACCCATGCTCCGTCTGGTGACTCTGTGGCCAGCCTGCTTGGGTGAGAGGCTCCAGCTTTGCTTCTTCCTTCCACAAACATATACTGAGACCTGCCGGGGCCACTGGAAGAGGCGCGGGGGATAGGGAGAGAATGTGGGTGCAGCCCCTGCCCTCAAGGGCACAGCCAGCGGGCAGACCGGCGAGGAAAGCCCCAGGTCAGGAGCGGGCGAGGGGAAGGCCAGAGTGGGGCTCACACTGCATCTCCTCATCTCTCCAGCTTTTTCGACGTGTGGCGTCAGCTCTGCCTGGTATGGAGAACGTCCAGGAGAAAAGCAAAGAAGGGAGTATCCTTTTCTTCTGACGCGTGAGTGAAAGATGGGCAGGAGAAGCCATCTGTCCACTTAGTACAGTGGGTGAGCACTTGCCCTGTCGCCAGCCCAGACTTCCCTGGACTGCTGCGTACAGCATGGGGCCTCCTCTTTGTAGGGCGAGGCTGATCTGGACCTGTGCTCTCTGGTGCTGTAGCCACATGTGGCTATTTACATTTAAATTAGTTAATCACAAGGTCACTTCCTCACTTGCACCAGCATCCTTTCACCAGTTCAGTTGCCCATGTTGCTAATGGCTACAGGTTAGGCAGTGCAGATATAGAGTATTTCCATCATCACAAAAAGTTTTTGGATAGTGCTATTCTAGAAGTATGACTAGAATTGGTTTCCCAGGTGTCTGTGCATTGGGAATCTCCCATGGGTGAGCTAGGGAGGGAGCCTGGGTGTGGGGCAGGGGATGTCATTTCTAGAAGGAAAAAACAGCATGAGCAAAGGAAAGGAGGAAAGCATAGGACATGATTAAGGAAGGGGAAATCTGGTCTACGGAGCCTCAGTGTGTGATCAAGGGAGGGGGTGAGCTATCAGCAGCTTGTGGGGAGGCCTTGGGTGCCACATCTGGGCCCATCTCCAGATCTACTGAGTGTAGGGCCCAGGGAGATGTATTTTTAACAAACTTCCCAGGAAGGTTCGATGCATTCTATTTGAGTACTCCACATTTGAGCACTGCTGTGCATTGTACAAAGGTATTGACTCAAATTGCACATGAGAAGATTTTTTTTTTTAATGGTAGTCAGGTAACTTCAACATTGGGCAGAATGTGATGCTGCAGCGGTGACCATGCTTCCAGCTAGACCAGTGTTTCTCAGCTGGGACTGATATCGCCCCACTCCCCATGGGGACATTTGGCAATGTCTCCAGATGCTTTTAGTTGTCATAAATTGGGGAAGGGGGAATGGTGTTACTGGCATCTGGTGGGCAGAGGTCAGGGATGCTTCTAAACATCCCACATGCACAGAATGGCCCCCACAACAAAGAATTAACTGGCCCAAAATGTCAGCAGTGTTGAGGTTGAAAAGCCTGTCCAAGAGGCACTTAGCATAGCCAGGTCATTTAAGAGTATGACACTGGGGTCAGATAGCCTTGGGTTTGCACCCAGGCACCTTGGCCTCCTAGCTGGAAGACGGGTCTAATATCGAAGTGGGGTAATGCATTTAAGCGCCCAGTGCGTTGCGCGGCAGAGCGTGTGCGCATTACCACCTGGAAAGGCTTCACGGAGAGGCCATTACCACCGAGAGCCCTGGTCTAAAAATGAGGACACTTTTCACAGGTGAGATAGGGAGGGGGACTGGGTGTGGGCGAGGGGGCATCATTTCTAACAGGAAGGAACAGCACAGGCAAAGGGAGGAAGGAAAGTGTAGGACGTGTTTAAAGAAGGGGGAAATTTGGTGCCTCAACAGAGCCTCAGTGTGTGATCGAGGGAAGGGGATGAGCTAGCGTCAACTCATGGGGAGGCTTTGAATGCCAGAGTGAGAAGTCTGTGGAAGCTTTGTCTCTGTACCAGAGTGTGACGTGACTGTCACCAGAGCTAGCTTTGGGAAGCCACCATGCTGAGAGAGGACTGGGTGGGCTCAGAGGGACACCCAGAGAAGACCAGGAGACCTCTGTGAGGCCTGCACCTGGACCAGCAGTGCAGAAGGGGGCTGGGCTGCTGGGGCCATTGTGGGCCATAGACCACAGCTGGCAGAGAGAAATGGCACGGCATTCTTGGCAGTGGGTTTGCCAAATGCAGTGCGGAGTGGAGAAGCAGGTTTGCTTTGCTTGACTGGAGTAGAGAGGACAAAAGGTGGACTGCAGTGGGAAGTAGGAAGATAGGAAGGAAGGCAGTTGCTCTTTTTTTTTTTTTTTTGAGACAGAGTCTTACTCGGTAGCCCTGCAGTGGTGTCATCATAGCTTACTACAACCTCAAATCCCTGAGCTCAAGAGATCCTCCTGCCTCAGCCTCCCGAGTAGCTGGAACTACAGGCACACACTACCACACCCGGCTAATTTTTTTTCTATTTTTAGTGGAGACAGGGTCTTGCTCTTGCTCACGCTGGTCTGAAACTCCTGACCTCAAGTGATCCTCCTGCTTCAGCCTCCCAGAGTGCTAGGATTACAGCAATTGCTTATTATCTTTTATTTATTTATACTCTGCCATGGTATAAGAAGTATATGTGTATGTATATATACACACATATACACACACAAACAGCATAAAATTATACATGTGTACACACACACATAGGGAAAATAAAGGTAGGAAAGGCAAGGAAATGTCAGAGATAAAGTCATACTCAAATTATATGCCATGGCCATGTTGTTACTAGACATGGCCAAAAAGTTGGCTCTAAGCTTCCCAACAGCCAAAGCAAGGAGGGAAAATGTGAACTTCAGGAGACATGTGGCTTTTCACAGAACTTAAGCTGAAAGAATCTCTCCTGTCACCCCAAATAGGAGCCACAAAAACATCCCCAGGATGTCAGCAACAAGTTCCATAGTAGGGCTTCTGACACCACCCCACCCCACCCCACTCACCTCTGTCCCAGTGCAGCCCTACAGCAGGCACCAAAGCCCAGTCCAGGAAGAGTGATTCTGTGAGGTACCAAAGGACCTGGTTCTCAGCTCTAATTAGAAGGTCTGTCTTGATGCCAGGCCAAAAACTCAAATTAAGCCTTGGTTTTGAGCCCGGTAAGGCGGGCAGAGGGACAGCCTGGCTGTGCATTTTGAACCCGTTCCTCTGTTGGTTCTGGGAAGTGCTTCTGCAGCCCCCACAGCCCCTGAGGCACCAGTGGAAAGGGTTGGAGAGGGGGCTGTGCTTAGGCCCCATGGATGTGGCTTCTCACAGTAGCCATCCTCGGAATGCAGGTGCCGCACTCTGACTAAAGCTTGAGGGGTCGACGCTCCTGCTGCCGGCTAGGGCAAGGCCCACACACGCCTGTGCCTTGAGACATGAGCGTTCTTGCTGGGCCATGGGCTCCTTACCACCAGTGCACTTTTGGATGGGGCTGACAGGTAATAGGGCTGAGGCAAGAGGTGGGAGCTGGCTTTTGAGCACTGGTCACCAGGGAAGGCTTCTGAGAAAGTGACCCCCTGGCCTTTGTATAGATGCTGATCCACAGCACAGGACAAGCTTTGCTTTGGGTGGACAGGGGTTGGGGGATGTGCGTGGGTGGGGGAAGAGGAGGAGAGTGTTCACAGAGGGACAGAGCAGCAGCCAAGAGGTGCGGGGGCGTGAGCCTGATGGCAGCTTCTCCGAGATAGTTGTCTTCCTTAGCCAGCCACCCGCAGTGATCGACATCAAGCTGGACAAGCCCCAGGAGCCCCCGGCCAGCGAGGGTGGCTGTTCCTGCTAATGCAGCGCCGCCCCGCCGGCGTCCTATGACACTACTTGCTTGTTGTGTTGCTTCCTATTGGTTAGCTTCCTACGGGGGGGAAATGAGTTTATCCAGATGGGAGGATTTTTCTTTTCTCTCTGTCTCTAGGAGTAGGGTGGGATGGGGAGGGAGGCTGGGCATCAGGGATCACGTCACTCTTAACAGCTGTTACTTAAACAACTATTTTTTGGTTTGGTTGTAATATATTGTACTTTATTAAGATTGCCAAAAACTGTTAAAATTTAAAAAAAAATCTAAATCATGTGTATACAACTTTTTGCCAGATAAAAATGTAGTCATTTTTATTTGAAAGATGTGCTTTTTGTTTTTGTATATTTGTAAACTTACAGAGAACCTTTTCCACACACCTCCTCCTTCCTGTTCTCTTTGAACTGTTCACCTCCTCTGCCTTCCTCCCATCCCCAGCCCAGTAAATTAAAACAATTAACTGAGCGACTAAATTAGGCTCCAGTCCCAGGCCATCTGGCCCCACCATCCAGGCCCTACATGGTTAAATCAAACATTGGTTAAACGAAGCCTCTGAAGAGGTACCTCTGCCTCTGCCCTTCCGTGGCCAGAGCGGGACGTCAGCGCGGCCCTGCGCTGAGACCGAGGCCTTGCTGACTGCAGGGAGCCAGCAGCAAGCCCAGGGGAGCCACTTCTGCCTCTCTGTTCCCTTCCCTGAAAAGCCTGGAAGTGGCTCATGGGCACAGGCAGCCTTGTGTTCCCTGTGCCCACAGTGACCAGAAGAGAAGAGGCCTTTGGAAGGACGGGGTGCTGTTGGCAGTTGTGGGCCGTGGTGGTGCGTGGTTTATAGACTGGGGCACCACGTGTAGTTCTGGAAATGTTTTAACAAACCCACCCAAGCAGTCAGCACACATAGGTGGGTTGAATCTAAGAAACTCAATGTGTGATGTTGGGCAGCTGCCACCCTAAGCTGCAGCCTGCACCATGTGGAATTGGTCCATCTGTGACTGGGGAAGGCAGGATTGTTTGCAGAACCATCTCTTTGAAAGATACATGTTTTCAGATCCTCAGTTGCTAATATTGTTGAGTGCTTTCTGGAAAAGCTGATTTCTTGATATGTTTTCACCCCACTGGCATGGCACAGTTGAAATCTTTGTGGATACTTTCGTGGATGTTGTGGCTGCACTTGGCCACCTGAGCATGTGGTTGAGGTGGGGTCTCCAGAAGCCTGCCCAGGGTACTGCAACCTGCCCCCAGAGAGCCATCCTTGCCATTTTTAACTCATTCCTGAGAATGGCTTAGTCCTGAGGTCCTGTAAAATCTCTGAAGAGAACTCTCTCTTCTCGCTCAGTGATGTAACCGACTTGGCCAGCATTCCAGATAGACCCAGACTCACCACCCCAAGCCTGCACAAAGCTAGGCAGTGGGCAGTGACTCTGGCCAGAGCGTAAACCCCACCCTCCCAGCTGGCACTGGCCCTTCCCTCGGCTGCTCACGGGCATGTCGTGGATGGGTGAACGACCATCTGGGGTGTGGTGAGGTGAACTCCTCCTCAAGGCAGGACTCCAACAAGGTTGTTGGAATGAATTTTGAAACTTCTCAGAAACTAATGCAAGATGGCAGGAGCAAGAGCAGCAGAACCTGGCAGGACTGCTGTTTGTGCAGTGGGCCGGCCACGCACGCTCTGCCAGCAGACTGTCTGACAGCTTTAGCGAGGAAGCAGGATCCCATTGAGCACCTCTTCCAGAAGGCAAGGACCAATGTATGAGCGTAATTCAAATGTCATGTGTTCAGTTTTTATATGTGTGTACATAATTATATATAGAGATAGACTTGTGTATACACCTTCCACAAACACATCCTCACACACAGAAACATGTGCTCAATGTATACTCTTGTTTTTCCTGCTCTCAAGTTGGAACTCGCATTGTGATAACAGTTTTGGAATTCAAAAGTACTGCAATGTGTTGAAATAAGAAATACTTAATATTGTCAAATAACTTGTGATTGTCTTGCCATCAATAAAATAATGCATAGATGTGTTAAACTACAGGCAAAAATAGCCCACGGGAGTATCTCCACCATCTCTCTATGTACTTACTATATGCATGGGTATGTGTGCCCGTGTGGGCAGTATCCCCCCACACGGGCACACCCCCAAGTGGTGCTTGTTGGTAGAGTGCTTACTTACCTCGTGAGAATCTGTGGGAGTCCCCGTTATGGCATCCTGCCTCGTTGGCAGTGAGGCCATCACTTGTGGCCTCTGAGACTGCCCCATTTACAGGGATCTGCACTGGGTCTCAGTGAATGAATGTATGGTGGATTTTTATTTTCTTGGCCCTAAAGAGTAGCTTTTCTTAAAATGTCGTGTGAAACAAAGTAGAAACTCAGTTCCCTTCTCATGTGCACACACATCCAAGGCACCACGGACTGTTTTTCCGTCCTGGCGTAGAGGAGCAGTGAGAGACCCAGCGGATGTCATGTGGCTTGACGTGGCCTTAGTGAGTCTCGCCTTTCCTAGTCTGCACACGAACGACGTCCTCTCTTGAGCCCAGGTTCTCCCCAGTCCCGTGGCCTCTGAAGCTGAGGGTAGCTGCCTCCTTGTCCTCCCATCTCAGCGATGCCATGCGATTCCCTGGCCGCCTTTCCTCAGGCCCGATTTCCACTCCTCCCTCCCTGGGGTCTGGTGAGGCCGCTGGACCTCTTTCACAGACGTGTGTCGGTTCCTCGACTCTCGTCTTGAGCAGCTGCCATCACTGTCCTCTTGCCTGTAGGTAGGATCTTGACTCAGAGTTAAGGTTCCATAATAGAATGGTCAGGTGCTCTTGAAGAGGATGTCGTGAAATTGCCTCAGCACCCCCGGCCAGAGTATCGCATCTTTGCTGAATCGAGATCCGTGAGCACAGGGGGAGTGGAGGATTCCTTTCAGAAAACGTTCTCAATTTGGTAATTCAGTCCTTCTCCCCAAAGACTAGATCCTCTTCCTTTGACCCTTTTTCTTCGGGGATCTCAAAGAAGAGCTGCCAGTAAAGCTCCTGTTCCACAGGCATCAGGAAAATTGAGTGTAAGGTGGAAAAAGCTGAGAGTGTATTTACAACTGCAGACAGAAGCCAACGTGAGGGTGTGATGTCCGCATCTTGAGCACTGCAGCTGCAGTTGTGGGGTCCCAGGTCCGTTTGCTTGGTGGCTGTGGGCAAGTTTCCTTTGGTCGGAGGCCTCCCTGTTATCACTATTGCCACTCTCTTCCTGTCGTCACCCTTAAACATTTTGTAATGTTCCCAGGTTGGAGGGGAGCAATGGCCATATCAGTTTTTCTGAGGCAACAGAAATAAGGATTGAAATAGTGGGAGCCAAGAGTGCAGACATATCTGGGGTGTAGTATCTCCATTGCCCCAGTGGCTACCCAGTGCCAGGAGCACCTGCCCTCAAGTACCAGGTGTGACAGTAAAGGGACGGTGTTGCTGGCTTTGGCATCCTGTAGGTAGAGCAAGCAGCCTTATTCCTTCACAAGATGGAAGGCAGGTGCAGATGTCAGGACATGAGACCGGGTAGCCGAGGACCGTGAGGCATGTCTGAGCCATGTGAGGGGCAGCTGAATAGAAGTATGTCTGTGCGCATCAACCAAACAGGGTCACATGCTCGCTAGTCTCCAAACTACCTCTCCCCACTGTCACCTTGCTACCGCAGTGTGAGGTGCAGGTCTCATACCCCCTCCTGTGTCACGGGCAGGAAAATCAAGATGGAGAAGCGTGAGTTGCTTGTGATCACACAGAGAGTCGGAGCGTTCAGAGCTGGTGTTTCCTTTCTTCGTCCATTGCTGCCCGTGTGTGTACACGTGGGACGGCACACCTGCAGTCAGGAGCTGCTGTGCACGAGTGTGTTCCTCAGACCAGCTCTGCTCTGCGGTAGGACACACATTCCCCCCAGTGTGTCTGAGCGAGCTGGGAGAGCATGTAGGTGCATGTGGGGCTCCTCCACTGCAAGGAAGGGCCAGTCCCCAGGCCGACTGATTGTCCTGGGCACCCGCACCAATCGGGGCACCCTTTGGATTTTTTATTTAAATGAACTATTTAGATATTCCAAAGCCTTGGGATCTCAATGTGCAAAACTCCTTGGACTCCAGACCCTTGTCTGGTTGACACTCCAGCTGGGTGTGGTTTTGAGGAAAGCCTTGCAGGGGAGGTTTAGATGGCTCCTTCAGGAGGTGGGAAGTCTCCGTAGCATCGAAAGCCAGCCTGCATCTTGCGGTGTGTGTCCACTTCTCCCCTCACTTCCCCCACCATCCCTTTAAAGCAGTTGGCTGTGGGGAGCAGCCGGTGGCAGCTCCATCTGTGTCACGGGCTCAGAAGGCATAGCGGCCATATTGACTTCACATTAAACTGTGTAAAATGTGGAAAAGACTCAGCATGTTGGTCGAACAATAAACTGTCCTAATTCTCAACACAAAGCTTCCTGTCTGATGTTTCTAAGTGGTGCAGTCATGTATTTCTGGGGGCACGGGGGTTCCAAAACAGAGTTCCTCAAGTTCATGTTCCACGAAGACCCTCCTCTCGTGTCTAGGTGGTGTAGCCACCACCCAGAGCCTTTGCTGCTTCCTCCTACTCACCTGGGCTCGCTGCCAACTCCAAAGGGGGGAAGGTGGGACACCGATTACATCCACACACGTTCCTGTAATCTCTGTTCTGCCTAAAGGCTGATGGAAAGGGAGCCTCCAGGCAGAACCGAGTCAGGGGTATGATATTCTCCATCATCCTCACTCTCTACTTGCCGCAGCTGCAGGGACTGGCTCTCTGGTCCTTCTGGTAATTTCCAGAAAGCTATTTAAGGCAAGAATGTAAGATGAAACATAATCACCTTTCGGCAACATCAGGCTGCCATGTACCACCCCCAGCCTCACCCATGCCAGTTAGGAACATCCCGCAGAGGCCCCTTCAGGTGTCAGTCATCTCTAGACTAAGAGATGCCCTGGAAGCCGGGATAGTTCTGGGACCAATCCGAAGAGGATACAAAGGCCAAGATGAGGTGCAGAATTGCCCTCGCCTGGGAATGCTGGGAACCTCACTCTTCTTCAAGTCCAACTTCACTAAGTGCCTTTTCCCCTTTAAGGTTCTAAAGGCTCCGGAACACCCTCCAATCTGCCACCTCAAGGAAGCCATCTCTGATTAGAAGAGACAGGAAATAGATGTTCCTGTCCGCTAAGCCTTGCTGTATCTGGCGGCCAATTGTAAAATGCGAGGTACAGGGTGTGAACAGGCAGAGGGCTGAGAGCACACGGGCCAGGGTTGAGGCCCGAGTAGAGCTGTTCCAAGTCATTCCCCAAGGTTGTGGTGTTCAGGACAACGTGACTTCACCCGCAAAGGCAGAGAGTGATCTCGGGACGGTGTTCACACTCAGCTGTCCAGCAGCCCCTGCCCTTGCCTAAGGAAGCACTGCTGGGATTCCCCAGAAATGAATGTGAAGATGACACACATCTTCACGTTGTGGTGAATGTCCCGCCTAAAGCGCACAACGTGGCATCCAGGGATGCTGCCCAGAGTTGTTTTCCTCATCAGTGTACAAAGGTGGAGGTCACTGTATGCTAAACTCTAATTAAAAAGAAAAAAGCATATTCCAGCTTTTTGAAACAAAATGATTCAATACTTGAAGCAATATTCAAGTCAACACGGCCAAGTGCCTCACATGTCAGGATCACAGAGGAACACTGGCACCCCAGGAGGCCCTAAGACAGAGGCCAAGGGGAGAAGGCACAGCCCTCTTGGGGCTGCATGGCCGCAGCTGACCGCCGGCCCACCCAGTGCTCGAGAGTGCAGCCTTGATGGGGCGCGCATTAAGGAGGCAGGAGGGCAGGGAGCCACACCGAAAAGGCACATTTCTTAACTTAAGAATTGGGCCATAATCCTCCAAAAGCAAGAGTTGTGCTTTGTTTAGTATTTCCAGGGCCTACTGCAGTGCTTGACATTTACTCAGTGAACGAATGCATACAAGGCTCTCCTAAGCAATAGAGTTTCGGGCTTTATGGTTGAAAGGAAGTGGGATTATTTTCCTGTGCAAATGAAGCCAGGTGTAGTTATCACCTTTCTTTACAATTGTGAAGGGATGAGATAGAGGAGGTAGGCATCCTTTTTAAAAAAAAAAAAAAAAGAAAACAGGGTCTCAGTCTATTGCCCAGGCTGGAGTTGCAGTGGTGTGATCATAGCTCACTGCAACCTTGAACTCCTGGGGTCGAGTGATCCTCCTGCCTCAGCCTCCCGAGTAGCTGGGACTACAGGAGTTCACCACCACACTCAGCTAATTTTTTTATTTTTAGAGATGGGCCTCACTATGTTGCCCAGGCTAATCTCAAACCCCTGTATTTAAACAATCCTCCCACCTGAGCCTCCCAAAGCACTGGGATTACAGGCGTGAACCACTGCACCCAACCCGAGGTAGGCATCTTAATTGCTACTAATGGCCTTCAGGTGAGGTTGGGCATGAATCAATTGAAGCTTTGACAATTCTGTCCTGAACTCTAAACTCGAAAAAAAGGAAAAAGCATAGTTTTCTGGCTGAAATTATCTAAGTCAACAGAACGTGGCCAAGTGCCTCACACAAGGATGGACCGCAGGGGAACACTGACACCCCATGAGGCAGTGAGGCAGAGACCATGGGAAGAAATGGCAGACCCCAGGGACGCCCCACCAACAGCAGCTGTTGTCTATTGGGAACTAGGACCCTCAGCAAACTGTCAGGTGCCTGGTAGAGGACAGGCTACCAAGGCCCGGGCTGGGAAGGAGAGCCAGAGTAAAAGTCAGTGCAGTCAGTGCCTAAACCCCTCTTGGTCTGCCTGTGTGCTCCATACCCAGTGGAAGATTCCAGTCCAGAAGGCGACATATTCACCAATGTAGTGCCCAGGGCCTACTCATCGCGGCTGCCCCTCCACAGCGGCATCTCACCGTAGCCGCACCCCTCCTTAGCAGGGACCAGGGCCATTTGATTGACGTATGCTATTCTGGGAGGTCTTGGTGCCCATATTTGTAGCTTAAAACCCCATATTCCCAAGGGAATACAAATGTCTCATCTATGACATACAGTCGTGCCTCATCGTCCATCCCCATGACCTGCTAGCCCTCTCTCCTCTTGCCCCCATCTCAAGAAGAAATGGGGATGCTTAGGTTGAATGCCTTCAGAGCCACAAGAGGACACCAGCTGAGTGGAGAGCACATCTGCTTTCCTATCAAAACCTTCCCAGCTCCCAAGGCTAGTCACCACAACCTCATCCTGGCCCAAACCCACAAGAATGGAATGCCTGCAGCACGGTTCCCAGGAGGGACTCTGTAACCTGCCTGCTCACTTCACCTTGTCAGGAAAGCTAAATAAGGTGTGTGGCCCAAAGACTGAAAAACAAAACATAGCAAAGGCACACACGACACTCCAGACCAGGTCATCTTAAGGATGTCCCAGGAGCCCTACAACTGGTAACAGACTAGTTAAGCATGCAGGTTCCTGAGACCACACAAGACCTAGCTGACCAGAATGTGCAAGAGTAGGGTCCTCAAATCAGCTTAACAAGCCTCACAGACGATTCTGATGACGCCCACTAACGTTTGAGAATCACCGTTCTAGACAGAACTTTCCTTTTTCAGACCATCATTAGGCCTTGAATGGAATTCAACTTGCTCCCTTTCTTCACTTTTTTTAGCATACTGCTTCCTCCAATAACCAATAACCTTATTAACCAGAAAAAAACAAAAACAAAAGAGGTTGGGAAAACATAAGCCTCTTAACAGAAGCATCGAGCCATGGATTTTTGTTCACGTGAGCTCCTGTGACTATGTGAACTTGTCACACTCATCACATCCCTTTCTGCCTTCTGGCTTGTTGTTCTTGTCTACTTCCTTCACTTACTGTTTGGCTAATACGGCAAAGGGCAAGGAGTCGTCCAGAAGACAGAACACAAGCAGCAATGCAGCTTTAAAAGAACTCTGACAGGATCTGGTCCGACTTTGCCCCTTCACGTCGCATTTACTTTGTGCACCAGCAGCAAGGCTGACGAGCTTCAGGGGCGGGAGCCTGGAGTACTTCACCAGGCATGACGAGGGACTGAGGCCATGTGTACCCTCAGAACCGGAGAGTGATCCACAGCCAAGGACGTGGGAGACAGCGGGCAGGGGCTGTACACAGGGACCACACTCGGACGTCATCTGTGCCTCCCTTTTATTCCTTGACTCTCCCTGACCCCTCAAGGCCAGGCGAGGTGCCCCTGCAGCAGGCTCCCAGCGCACTCTGGACCTCTGCTGTGGCTCTCCCTACACTCTTCTGTGATTAGCTTCTCATTCAGCCACGGCCACCCTTGTCTCCTTGTAAACTTTAGTTGGGCTTGTCCCTGACTGGGTAAGGTAGGGATAGAAGAGTGTTCCTGTGTACACTGCAATCTTTAAGCTCAGGAAACTCGGGGTTAGGCCTGAATCCTAACACACGCTCCCATTTGTACTCATTATTCCATTCTATTTAAGTGTCCTGAGCCAGACAGGTGGTTTTATTTACTAAGAAATGTATTAACATTTAGAAAAGCCATGGAAAAGCCAAATGTTTAAGAGGACAGCAAAGAATATCACTTTGAAAAGGCAGACTTTATTTTTTTTTTTTAGCATCAATGAATATGCACTTCAGAAATCTACAGAGAACTTTTTTCACTTTGGATTTGTCCCACAGCATCCCAGCAAGGGTGCAAAATTGGAGCTGTTCAAGCAGCACATAAGGATGGCCCAGGAACCCTCAGCCATCCAGAGAAGTGGAACAGCCTCTAAATCTCCATATGTTCCCCGGTGTAACCACAAGAACACACCAGACCCTTGGTATTTGGGGAGTTGGCATTTCTAGTTCTGTTATCTAGGAATGACTCCAGGGGTTCGTGACAAGCTTCTGAACCATAAGTGCTAAGACTGGAGTGTGGTCAAGTCACTGAGCTGATGAAGAACAGACTCATTGTCGGCGCAGGCCTGCTGTTTTATAGCTGTCTTCACGTGTGGGGAAACCGTACTGTAACTGTGCCTACAAATCGGGGAATTCACAAAGGACTAGACAATGTATTGCTCATGAACCTCAGGGGCAACAAGAAATCAACTGGCTTCATGAACAGGCACGTCTGTTTCCAGGGAAAAGGGCACAAAGCACAGAAGCAGAGGATAAGAACACTTTCCAGATGATAAGCATATTCTCCTGCTAATGTCTTCTCTGTGTGGAGTCAGTTTCTTATGTCACAAAGACCTTGGCCCTCCATCAAACATACACTAGACGTTAAACACACCTTAACGAAGGGAAGATACAAAGGTCAAATAAAAGTGACTTGTTTGAAAGGGAGCCATGCGGGAGAACTGAACTTAAAAAAAAAATTCAAGCTGGTTTCAACAGTAATTTGTTTCTACAACAAGGAAATGTTTCTAACCACATTTTGTACCTTTTCTCTATCAACTACAGACTACCATAGCCCTTTTCCCCAAACTGAATCAGTCACACACACACATCCGTGTCTCATGCTTTGGCGCTGCCCCTCAGGCGATTTTCGCCAGCCATTTCTCCAAGTCCTGGATGTCAGCAGAGCCAGCGTCCCCTCTTCCACCCTTGGCACTACACTCCAGGAACTCCACTTTGAGAGGCAACTGTGAGAATTCGAACTCTTTGCCTTTCTTTCCCAGCTGAACAGGGACAGTGCTGGAACTGTCCAGTGTGCTGGGGGCAGCAGAACGGGTAACTCGTAAGGTATTGCTGTGGGTCAAAAGGAAAACAGGTCAGGAAGCAGAATTTTTATACAGCAATTAAATCATATTAGTTCCTAAACATTTCAGTGCTCATTTAAAAAAATCATGAAATTGTCATTTATGCTATTTAGACTTGCTGAATAATCCTTTGCATTTATAGATCACTTTCTTGGACAGACAGGTGAGACAGGAGTTCAACCTTCATAGCTGGATGACAGCAGGTCAGCAGTGTTGGGGCATACCAACATTCATTCCTCCCAGGGCCCCCTTCTAAGATCTCCTGAATGATGCCATTTTAAAATATGCTTTAAAAATACATGCTGCAAGTGTTATCAAAATGTAAGTTTCTGAAAGTTAAGTGTGGGTAGATAGGGTATTTATTTTTATCTTGAGTTTATTTGTATATGGAGCTTACAAATCCACAAACTCCAGATTCTCATATCTATATGTGGGCACAATTTCTATTCTCTAAACCTCTTCAACCACTAAACCCTTCTCGATTTCAGTCACCTTACTGCCACCTGCTGGCCCTAATAAAGGGTGTATAAGCAACACTCATTTGCAGACTTTCCCTACCCCTCCTGCTACCCAGGAGAGGAATACATGCTGCCAATCTGCTTTCCTACAAAATAAAGCATTTCTTGATTCTGTAAGTTAGCTTAAAAATTAGTGAAGAAATCCAGACAAAACTAAACAATACCTTGCTTAGAAACACACACAGTAAAAGTATTTTAAAAAAACAATTAATACAAAATTCTGGACGTTACTTACCTCTTGAGGGATAAGCTTTTGGGGAGGAGTACACAGGGGCCTTCTAAGCATGGTGGTGGGTATATAGGTATTCATTTAATATTCTTTAAACTTAATGCATGTGTCATATATACTCTTTTATATGTGATATTTTACAATAAAAAAATTTTTAAGGAAAAAAATCAAAACATTACATGTATTCAGCTTTTGCCATAAGGCCATGGAAATATAGTAAACCTTGTTATTCAGAAGATTGAAATGCTTCAAAACCAGTAGGGCTTAATTCTCACAATTTCAAGATTAAAATAAAATTAGTCAGAATCCTAATTTTAACTGTTAACATTTATAACTTTTCAATATTTTGCTTCACTGCCTTATATTATAATAGAGCACTTCCTTCTGTCTTGTTTTCTCTGACTCTTTAGAGCAAAAAGCAAATGGCCTAAGGAAAATGTGTTTTAAATATGGGAAAATGGACTGTACTGTTAGAAAAAAACCCCAAAACCGATACATAAATAACACTATGATAGCTTTTGTTTCTTCAAAACAATTCCCAACAATTGCAAGAGAATTTTTAGAAAAACTAAATCATCTACTTGTTCCAATGTCCTTAGCCTAATGGCAAGCAGTATGTACACTCTCAAGGGAGTAAGCACCGAGAGTGTGGGCACAGAGAAACATGCAATTTCAGAAGCGACAGGAACCACTGAAAATGGCACAGTCAGGGCTGGCAACAGTGTTCCGTAAAGAGCCAGGAATTAAATATTTGGGGCTTTGTGGGCCACATTTGGTCTCTGTCACATATTTTTCTTTTCTTTTTTTTTTTTTACCTGTTCTTTAAAAATGTCAAACTACTCTTAGGTTGCAGGCTGTGGGCAGGAGTTTGTCAACCCCTGAAGCTGACTAGATTCTACTAGACTCTAAGCTCCAGAGTACAGGAACTCCCAGCACATTTCCTCCTATAGCTGCATCCTGCGTGCAGGGCTTGGCACATACTAGATGCACTATAGGTGCTTGTAAATGAATAAAGGAGTAAATAAATCATAGTGGGAAAAAAATGTTCTAAAAGTTGAATTTATATAGTTTTTCCTCATCAGAGCCTTTCCAAGTCCTTATACAAGTAATAAGAAAACATAACTTGCTTTACTATAATGTTGATCATTTCTTCGGCCTAAGCAAGCTTTTGGCTTGTTCTTATAAACTGACATAAAATAAAGACATGCTAGATTCCTTAAAATTCAAAAGCTTATAGCTCACTTCACAAATTTTTAAACACTCAAAGCAGGATCTCATATTGCCAAGTAGCTTGACAACAATATGAAAAACTACAAAACAGTACAACTTTTTATATTCTTCCTAAGTTTTTCTTTCTTATTCTATCAACAATAATTTCTAAAATGGTTTTAAATTATTTTAGTTTCTTTTTTTTAGTTTCTCAGTTTTTTTCCCCTGATTCCAGCTTTTACTTATTTATTCTTATTTTATTATTATTTTTTACATGTGCCTTTAAACACTGGATAACATGCATTACTGAGGGGTGAAAAAACACTTCCATTGACTGAAGTAAGAGTTCTCAACTTGGTGCATTAAAATTTTTTAGTTTCTAAAACCTTCACTTCAACTATAAATGAGTTACTAATAGTGGTAAAATAAATTGAGCTTATGGTTTCAATAAATCTTCTTTCCATACATTTTAAAATATCTATAAAAATCCCATTAATGCTTTTTATAATTCCATTACTTCTTTTGTAAATTATTTAACAAGTATATTTTACACTAATCTTCAGTCTATAACTCTGATAATCACATACAACCAAACAAAAGAAATATGAAGGCCGGGCGCGGTGGCTCACGCCTGTAATCCTAGCACTCCGGGAGGCTGAGGCAGGAGGATTGCTTGAGCTCAGGAGTTCGAGACCAGCCTGAGCAAGAGTGAGACCCTGTCTCTACTATAAATAGAAAGAAATTGGCCAAACAACTAAAAATAGAAAAAAAATTAGCTGGGCACAGTGGCGCGTGCCTGTAGTCCCAGCTACTTGGGAGGCTGAGGCAGGAGGATCGCTTGAGCCCAAGAGTCTGAGGTTGCTGTGAGCTAGGCTGACGCCACAGCACTCACTCTAGCCCGGGCAACAAAAGCGAGACTCTGTCTCAAAAAAAAAAAAAAAAAAGAAAAGAAATATGAATATGCTTCTTAAGGTCAAGTACTGAGACGTATAATTAACCAATGGCCTCATTCACACTTACAGTTCTTTCTCAAGCTGCTGTTGAATTAACTTTGCTGATTTTGCCATTGCAATATCTGTAAAAAAAATAAAAGCATTGTTGTAGTTTAAGTAAGGATGGGTCTTTTCCTAAGACTTCTTGCATAGAAGAAAATTCCTATTTAAACCAGTAAGTTTCTTTTCTCTTTTTTTTAAAATAAGGGCTTTTGTAACTAGTTCCTTCTCTATGAAAGTAAGCTTTATATCTGCACATATGGGTTTTCCCAAAATAATGCTTATAAACTATTATGCTGATGACCCTAAAATTGACTTTAGCTCTTTCTCTAAAGTTTTCCACAACTTACAGACTTTTCAATTCAATACATACATAAGTCCAGGCAGTTTAACAAAAAGAAAACCTACCAGTGCTGTGATTATAACAAGAGCCTTGACTCCAATAGATAATACTCTATCTGTCATTTAAAAGTTAACTTAGCATGTTTCCAACTGACACTAAGATGGTATGTTAAAGCATCAAGTGCACTATAGGTAAGAAATAAGACCTGGTTTGGCACAAAGCCCACACCAAATAAACATTAACTCCCCTCCTTGTCCTGAATCAGAGAAATAAAGAGGTTAGGTAATGCGTTCCTGATTAGGCATCATTAGGGTTACTATCTGATCACTTCTGGGCTCTTCATAGAATCAGAATTTTAGATTTGAAAGAGACCTGAAGAGATCAACTAGTTTATCTTATTTTACTGATAATGGAACTAAAGCCCAGTTTTATTTGGCATGACTAGAAAGTTTTCAATGGTTATCAGGTTAAAGGAAGGCAAGTTGTACAAACTCTCCTCCATAAAATTTATTGGATGGTAAACCTGTTTGAAAGGAGAGACTGCACCCTGTCCCTCTAAAATTATGTATCTGATATGACATATCGTCAACCTGACAACTTTGGTAAAGTAAAATAATTTATTAAAAAAACAAAACACTGTATCAAAGAAAAATTGATAACAATCACTCTGTTGTCATTCCTTAGTCCTCTGGTAAGAAGACTGGTGAAAAGGTAGAAGTAGAAATAAATTTTAAGATTTAAAATCTTTCAATTTATAGTTCATTACAGCAATTGTCTCTACCCTCAATAATGACAAATGTAGAGAACTGAACTAATTCTTAGTAGCAATCCCCCACAAAATCTTAGTTATTATTGCCAGAAAACATGATGGCACCTTGCTTATTGCAGGCTATTAAGAATGATGGTGTGTTCTTCAGACCCATACTGTCAATGAGGACTTGATACAGAAACTCAGCCACATCTTTCACCTCTCGTTGGAATGCTGCACTATCCACAACAAACACAACAGCCCTGGAGGAAGAAAAAGAAAAAGAAATATTGGCATGTGAACATGCAATAGTATAACATCATTTTGAAAAACTGTACCCTTAATTTCTTCAAATTTAATCCTGGTGACTAACACTCAACAGACACACATGCAGGCCTGTGTACATGTTATCACACAACACAAATCCTCATTTAACAAAGAACTATTGAGTGTTACTATGTAACAAAGACTAAAGCTGAAAAGACAATAAGAAATGATGCCTGTTCTCAAAGACCAAGAAATATCACATAGAGAACCATTATGATAAATGCCAAGCAGGACAGAACTATGCACACGGTGTAACAGGAACAAAGAGGAAGATCATTTAAATGAGAACAGGTCAAGGAAGACTTAAAGGAGGATAAAACAATTGAGCTAAATTTTATCTAGACAAAAAATTGGGGCAGACTGTCTGGAAAGTATAGGTTGAGTATCCCTAATCTGAAAATCCAAAATACTTCTGGTTCCAAGCATTTCAGATAAGGGATACTTGACCTGTAGTTCAAGGTACAAACAAGTGAAACACATGCCCTGGAGAAGTCAAGGTAAGCTGGTACACAGGGAGATGGGAAAACCAAGTCAGATAGTGAAGGGGCACGAGACACTGACCTGTGGAGTTTATGCTTTTCTGTCTTACGAAGAATATTGGTGCCTAAATGGAAGACAGAGAAATCTTAGGGCAACTGAACTAGAAGATGAGTGACCAGGTAGGGCCTGACCTAACGCAACAGTGAGAACCCTCATGTGACAGAAACAGAGATTTCAAGGCTAACGCACAGCAGCCCAGGGAAACTGCAGACAACAGGCCTTAGTGGAAAGGGGTTTGGATGCCCAGGAGGGAACAGGAGACATGCACTGACCAATCTGCAACTGGGGAGCTGGAACTGAACACCCTGCGCAAAGCCTAGAACTTAAAAGCAGTCTAATGGAGGTCAGAGATTGAAAAATAATTCCACAAGAAACAGAAACACCAGGCCTCCAGTGCCTCACACAGATACAGGATATGAATTTTACTCTCTCCAGGAATAAGATCCCCAAGCAGAAAGGTTTACATAAAAACTGGGCCTGACTCACTGAACCCCTGTGGCCCCAACAGAAGGAAATGGGAATCCTTTGTAGAACGAGGCTTTCATATCATAAAGTATTAAAGAACACCAACCACAATATCAACAACACATCCCCCTTGATAAAGGGTTCTAGATCAAAAATTATAAAGCATGCAAGAAAATAAATAATCATGAGGGAGAACAGCTAGCACCCCAAAGAGAGAATCAGCACCCCAAAACTAGAGATAATAAAGCAATCTATAAAATAAGTCTGTTCAAAATTATTTAGGAGAATAATTCTAGAAACGATAATAAAAATAGAATAGTATAAAAACAAACAGGCTGATTTGAAAAAATACATATTTTAGAAGAATATAGTATAGTGAGTGAAATGAATAATTCAAAGAAAAGTTAAGCAGAGATTAAGCTCAGCTGAAAGAATGTAGTAAACTAGAAAATAAATATAAGGAATCACATAATATGTAAGGGAGAAAGGCCTGGAAGATATGATAGAGAAGAGGCAAGTAGGGCAGAAATAATAAGGTTCAATAATGTTAATAATTGTTCTAGGAGGTAAGAAATGAGAATAAGGAAACAGCACTACCTGAAGAGATCATGGCGGGAATTTTCCAAAATTGAAGAGAATCTTTTGTCTGGAATACCATACTTGAATTCCAAGCATGACAAGGCTAAATGCACCACTCAACAGAAGAAAATCTACCCCTGGATAGGTAGAGAGTAAAACCAGGCAGACAGTGAAAAGACAAACGGATTGACTGATGACAGCATTCTCATCTGCAACAGCAGATGTCTGAAGTCAGGGGTAAGGCCTTACACGTGACGAGGGAATCAACCAGCACCCAGGACTCCATACTCAGCTGCAACAATCACTCAAAAATGAGAGCCAAAAAAAGATAGTTTCAAACAAACAAAAAAATGAAAAACCTTACTACTCCTCACCTTCTCTGGAAATCAGAGTAATTATACTGCAAATTACAAAATATTTAGAATTGACAACAGAAAAAAACATTTTTTAATTGGAAATAAACACCCAATTATGGCAAAATTTATCAGTTCTATATTTTTCTCAACTGTTCAAGGAATAAAATCACATTCTCATTGTGACAAATTGCTCATCACCACTATCTTGTGGGCAAGGAAGCAATAACAAAATCTCAGTGTAGACATCTTCAACAAAAAGGAAAGAATCAACTACCTTCATTCCATCAAAACTAAGATGCTATCAAAAGACCATTATTTCAGGGACCATTAAGAAAGAGAAAATACTGCCAATTAAAATATGACATCATTAACTGTAAGATGTATTCCGAATCTAGAGATATTAAAATGTGTCTTCAAATCACTGAAACATGGCACACTGATTTTCTTCTTCAGTTCTTCAATGTTAGAGAGACCAAAAAGAAGAAAGCAACTGAAACTGCAATGTAAGAATTTTAGGGAAGAACTTAAGAGTCAATAATACCTGGGCAGATACTAAAAGAAATATGAGAATACTGTTCTGTATTTCTTGAAACATCAATTTTAGGTAATTTAAGAATAGACATATATAATGTTGGAGTTTAATAACTTCTAGGATCCATCCCAGCTTTAAAATTCTTTTTTCAGATTTTAAGTTGTACATGTTATTAAATTCATCCTCAGAGTAAATGCAAAATTTAGTAACGATGCTAAAAAGAATTAACATTTTCTAAACACCATGAAACACTTTTTAAGCATCGTCTCATATAATCCTCATAACCCAAATGAGGGAAGGCTTGAGATCTAGAATTGGCTGAACTCAAAGTCCACATTCTTTCTACTCCAGGACACCATGCTGCCTCCCAAATACCACCAGAACAAATATACAGACTGGCCTCTGGACAGTGTGGCCTCAATCTACATACTTCAGACAAGCCCATTTCACTTCCTTCTTACTTACCTGGCTGAAGACTTAAACCGCTCTAAGAACTGAAGCCTCAAGCTCTCATGGCCGGGGAGGTCAATCAAGTTCAGGCTATTGCCCTGAGGATAGCAGCAAAAACATTAATGTTTCAGTCCAGTTCCATGTTCACAATATAAACCTTTAGTATCAGACTTCAGGAACCAGACTGGCACCTAATTAATTAATTTATCAAACAAATGTTTACTATAATTAATAAATCAAACTAATGTTCATGGAGCACTTTCTACTCATAAAACATCAGTCAAAGCTCTGGGCATATAACAGCAAACACATGATTCCTTATCTAACACAGTTTATGAGAAAGATGAACACAGTGTAAAATTACATATAAAAATATAAAATTGCAACTTTGATAAATGTTCTGAGAGCACATGAGAAACCTGACTCTGGGGGAGTCAGAGAAGTGTGGTCTATCTGAGGCTTGGGAGATATACTAGTACAAATGTAGTAAAAGCAAAAACACGTGAATAACAGTAACAAATATCCACAAACTAATAATATAAGAGCTATAATTTATCATAGAGCATGTTACTATTATTGGGATTCCCAATCTTTATAATAAAACACACTTTTATCATTCCCGCCCTTAATTTAATTTTTAAATATTTGTCTACCAGATACACTGTTCCAACTCTGTCAATATTTTGTGCCGATTCTCTTTTTTTAAGAGATGGGGTCTCACTATGTTGCCCAGACTGGTCTCAAACTCCTGGCCTCAAGCAATACTCCCACCTCAGCCTCCTGAGTCACTGGGATTACAGGTGCAACCGAACCTGGCTTTTGTGCCAATTCTTGAGCCCCTACTGAGCAAACCTATTATGTACCCTATTAAGTCCTATTCAACAGTACAAGCCTTCATCCTTGACTTCATGTTTAATGTAGATGTGGTTGTGCCCCTACTGAGCAAGCCCATTATGCACCCTAGTAAGTCCTATTCACCATTCCAGGCCTTCATCCTTGACTTCATGTTCAGTGTAGATGTGGCTGTGCTTAATGATAAGACTCTCAGATGTGGCCTGGTACTTTTATCAGACCCGTCAATCATTTCTCAGATGTTCTGCCTTATCCATAGCCAACCATAACCACAGTCCAAAAGAAGGAAATCAGCATCACATATAGATTTGACACAATTCCACCTGGATTCATTATGACCTTTCAGATAGCCTTGAAAAGACAAATGGATTGACTGATGACAGCATTCTCATCTGCAACA